AAGTTTGGATGTGTACAAAATAATAAACATGTTAATAAATTTTTTATTGTATTTAATTCAAATCTTTTTAAATAAATAATTTATTATTTATTTACATATTAATATATTTATTATTTTTTTTGGACGTAACCTAGTTTCATAACCAGTCCATAAAATAAAAAAAAATTCAATCTAAATAGTTATTTAAGAAACTTTAATAAAATTAATCATTTGTAGAAAAAAATAAAATAAAATGGATAAAAACTAAATTATTGAATATCGAAATCAACATATTTTGAAATTGAAATCTAAATATTTTGAAACGAAGCAAAAAAATCGAATAATATTTTGCTTCGATTTTGATTAATTTTTTTAAAATATCATAAAAAATATTTTAAAATCGAATCGAATAATTAATCAACACTATTAAGCCAGGCTCATTAGTGCGCAGCTAAATCACAGAAAAAGAAAAGGAAGGAAAGCAGGAAAGGGATGTGAAATCTGCGGTAGGATTTAGAGCTGGTGCCTCTGTCCACTTCGGGATCGCTGGAGATAAAGGTCACTTCAGCAGTTGGCCCACCCTGCAGTAATATTCTATGTCTGCTTAGTCAAAGTAAACCAAAGAAACCAAGAGAAAAGTATAAATTAGTCCCTGTTGTTTTAAGAAATCAATCAATTAGTTCTCTTTGTTTAAAACATAATTATTTAGTTCCTCATCGTTAAATTTTTACTAGATCTATTAAATTAATACCTAATATTTAAAATATTTTTTAAAAAATATATCCACCCATGAAGATATATTTTGATGCTCTATGAGAAAGAAAGAGAGTGAAAATTAATAAAATGAGAAATGAAAATTTGAGAAGAGAAATGATGATTTATTTTGGTGTTTGGGGAAAAAAAGAAGAAAATATATCTGAATAAAAAAATAATGCAAAAAAAAAGAGCAATTTAAAATAAATAAATAGTAAGAATATTTCATCACTATTTTAATAAAAACCGATAAAAAAATTAAGTTACGGATGAAATTAAACAAGAATGACTAAATGGTTAATTTTTAAAGCTGAAAAAATTATTATTATTATTATTATTATTATTTTCAAAACAAAAGGACTGATTTATAACTTACTCAATAAACCAAACCCAAAACTGAAAAAAAAAAAAAAAAAAAAAGGGTTAAACAAAGCACAAACACTGTTCTTCTTCTTAACCGTTGTTTATGTTTCCTTACCAGATTTCTCTTTTGAAACTTAAAGCTAGCTTTTTGCTAACAGTAGAAGAACCAAGCTATGGCTTCTGCTACTGCATTGGCCATAGGAGGATCATTTCTCTCAGCTTTCCTTCAGGTTTTGTTCGACAGAATGGCTTCTCGCGAGGTTTTAGGCTTCTTCAAGGAGCGAAGACTCAATGATAGGCAGCTAAAGAAGTTGAAGTTGCTTATGATTGCTGTTAATGGGGTACTTGATGATGCCGAGGAGAAGCAGATAGCCAAGCCAGCTGTTGAAATGTGGGTCAACGAGCTCAAAGATGCTTTATATGAAGCTGATGACTTGTTGGATGAGATTGCTTATGAAGTCCTTCGATTGGAGGTGGAAGCTGGCTCTCAAACCAGCGCAGGTCAAGTCCGAGACTTTTTATCTGCTCGTTTTCCATTTCAGAAAGTAAAGGAAGAGATGGAGACAAAGTTAGCAGAGATCATTGAGATGCTTGAATACTTGGTACAACAGAAGGATGCCCTTGGTCTGAGAGAGGGTACTGTAGAAAAAGCATCATCCCGGAAAATACCGACAACTTCTCTGGTGGACGAGTCCGGGGTTTATGGTAGGGATGCTGATAAGGAAGCCATAATGAAGTTGGTGCTATCTGCAGATGAAAATGGCAAACGGCTAGATGTGATTCCCATAGCGGGGATGGCTGGGATTGGTAAGACCACTCTTGCTCAGCTTGTTTACAATGATAGCAGAATTGGTGAGCAGTTTGATCTCAGGGTATGGGTTTGCGTTTCGGAAGAATTTGATGTTCTAAAAGTGACAAAAGATATTCTTAAGAAGGTGGGTTCCATGAATTGTGATGCCATGACTGAAGATCAACTTCACTGCGAGTTAGAGAAGGAATCGATGGGAAAAAAATGATGCTTGTTTTAGATGATGTTTGGAGCAATGATAGGGCAAAATGGGATTTTCTGCTTACACCTTTCAAGTCTCTGGCACAGGGGAGTAAGATCCTCCTCACAACTCGTATTGAAAGTGTAGCATCGGTCAAGGCCACTGTTGCAGCCCATTCGCCTGCAGGAATTGACGGCAGATGATTGCTGGTTGGTTTTCGCAAAACATGCATTTGATGATGGAAATTGCAGTGGACGTCCAGACTTGGAAGAAATTGGCAGGGAAGTGGTAAGAAAGTGCAAAGGCCTACCTTTAGCTGCAAAAGCCCTTGGAGGTCTCTTGCGTTTTAAAAGAGATGCTAAGGAATGGGAGAAGATCTTGAAGAGCAACATGTGGGATTTGCCAAATGATGATATTCTTCCTGTCCTCAGATTGAGCTATCATTATCTTCCACCGCAGCTGAAGCAATGCTTTGCTTACTGTGCAATATTCCCAGAGAATCATGAATTTAATAAGGATGAATTAATCCGTTTATGGATGGCAGAGGGTTTTCTAGTTCCACCTAAAGGAAAGAAGGAGATGGAAGAAGTAGGCAATGAGTTTTTTCATGATCTTGTTTCTAGGTCATTTTTTCAGCAATCAATCGGCAAATCAAGGTCAGTTTTTCAAGGATTAAATGGGGATCCCTTATTTGTTATGCATGACCTCATAAATGATTTAGCTAGATATGTATCTAGAGAATTTTGCTTGAGGTTGGAGGGTGAAGACTTAAACAAGATTACAGAAAGGACTCGTCATTTATCTTATGCAGTAACAAGACATGATGCTTGTCAAAAATTTGAGGGTATTTATGAAGCCAAGTTTTTGCGCACTTTCTTACCTCTGTCTGAAGCATGGCTACGCAACCAAATCACTGGCTCACCATTGTCAAGAGTTTGGCCACACAACCAAATCGATAATAAGGTAACACATGATTTATTACCAAAGCTTAGACGCCTTCGAGTCCTATCATTGTTTAACTATTCCAATGTAGCTGAGTTACCTGATTCCATGGGCAAGTTAAAACATTTGCGATATCTTAATCTCTCTGCAACATCAATAAAAAGGTTACCTGAAGTTGTGAGTACTGCATACCATTTGCAGACATTAATCATGGAAAATTGCAAGGAGCTTGTTGAGCTGCCTGATTCAATTGGCAATTTGAAGCATTTACTATATGCCAGTCTTAAAGGTACAAAAATCAAAAGGTTACCTGAATCCATGAGTAGTTTGTATAATTTGCAAACATTAGTCTTGGAAGATTGCAGATACCTTGTGAGATTGCCTCATTCAATTGGCAATTTGAAGCGATTACAATATGTGAGTCTTAAAGGCACAATGTTGAAAAAGTTACCGGCATCCATGGGAGGCTTGTGTAATTTGCAGACTTTAATCTTGCAGTCATGCAAATATCTGATTGAGCTACCAGCTGATATGGGAAGGTTAAGCAACTTGACTCATCTCGATATCGAAGGAACAAAATTGTCGAAGATGCCGTCTCATATGGGTAACCTAACAAAACTCCAAAACCTAACTGATTTCTTTCTAGGAAGAGATACTGGTTCTAGCATTAAAGAGTTGGGGAAGCTTCAACATCTACAGGGAGGACTAAATATTTGGAACCTGCAAAATGCTGGGAGTGCTCCAGATGCTGTAGAAGCCAATGTGAAGGGTATGAAGGACCTTAAGACATTGAATTTGATGTGGGATGGTGATCCTAATGACTCAGGACGTATCAGATATGTACTTGACAAATTAGAACCTGATGTAGATATGTAGTCCCTTTATATCTATGGCTATGGGGGTACAAGGTTTTCAGATTGGGTAGGAGACTCTTCTTTCTCAAGAATAGTATTCATGGAGCTCAGCAGATGTAAATACTGCACGTCCTTACCACCACTTGGGCAGTTAGTGTCTCTGAAAGAACTTCTGGTCAGAGGGTTTGAGGGGCTTGCGGTTGTGGGTCGTGAGTTCTACGGAAGTTGCACATCTGTGAGGAAGCCATTTGGATCCCTTGAAAGTTTAACTTTTTCAATGATGTCTGAATTGTGTGAGTGGAATTCAGATGAAGGCATGCAAGCTTTCCCTTCTCTTCAAAAGCTGTTCATAAGCCGCTGCCCCAACCTAAGAAATGTGCTTTCTGGGCATCACCTTCCTTCTTTAACAACACTCGAGATTGAGGGATGTCAGCAGCTTGTAACTTCATTTCCAAGGTGTCCAATCATTGATGAGATAAAGTTAACAGATGATTCTCGTCATCTGCTATTAGGCAGATTGCCTTCTGGGATGCACAGCCTTGAAGTTGATCGATGCCACTCCATAGATTCCATACCAAAAGAAATGGAGCAAATTGGTTGTTTGCTCCCCACTTTAGAAGAAATTGAAATGGAAAATTGCGACTCTCTCAGGTGCTTCCAACTGGAGTCTTTCCCTAGGTTGAAAACTCTTAGGATCTCTAGATGCTCAAATCTGGAATCTCATTGTGGACAGGAAGGACCTCTGGAGGATCTCAGCTCTCTTCATTCCTTGAAAATATGGGAATGCCCTAAATTAGTATCTTTTCCCAAAGGAGGATTACCTGCCTCATGTTTGACAGAGCTTCAGTTGTTTGATTGTGCAAATTTGAAGTCCTTGCCTGAGCATATGAATTCCCTCCTCCCATCACTTGAAGACTTGAGATTATTCCTCCTTCCAAAACTTGAATTGTTTCCGGAAGGAGGTCTTCCCTCCAAATTACAATCACTCTGGATTGAAAATTGCAGCAAACTCCTAGCTGCCCGAATGCAATGGAGTTTGCAATCACTCCCTTCTCTTTCAAAATTCACTGTTGGTGTTGATGAATATGTGGAATCCTTCCCTGAGGAGATGCTGCTGCCCTCAACTCTTGCCTCTCTTGAAATATGGAGTCTTAAAAAGCTGAAATCCCTGAACTACATGGGGCTTCAACACCTCACTTCTCTTGAACAATTGACCATCACAGACTGCCCTGATCTCCAGTCCATGCCAGAAGAAGGCCTGCCTTCCTCTCTTTCTTCTCTTGAAATCTGGAGGTGTCCTTTGCTGGATCAAAGATTTCAACAGAGAACAGGGGAAGATTGGAACAAGATTTCTCACATCCCCAACCTACATATTAACGGATACAAGATTCATCAACCTTAGGTATTACTTGTCTCACTTTCAACTCAAAATTTCCCTTCCTTTGCTTTTCTATTTTCTTGTTATGCTTATTTGTGTGTACTTGTAAATCAATCCTTTTTACTATTTCTTTGTCATTTGTGACAGTATCACTTCATTTTTATTATGAATGGCCAGTTGTGGAGACAGATTGTTTACAGGTTTGTCATACAGATGTGTTTCTACTGCTCACTTTCATTGTCCACCTCCTAAATTTGCTGATGATGCCTTGCTGATTTCTTACAGGATTCTTATCCAAATTTTCCCCTTTATGCCATTGAAACTTGAACTCTGAGTCTGAGCTCCAGCCATTTCAGATCAGCATCTGCTTATACTCCATGTAGCAGGAGAATTGGAATTCTGGCCACCCCAGGTAAATTCACTTTTCCCTATTTGCACATGTATTCCGTACAGGCTACAGAAACAAGTAGATTGACCAATATAGAGTAGAGCAACATGTTACCAAAATGATTTATGCAACCGCACCTGTTTCTATTACTTTGTTCAATGCCTAGTAGTTTGTTGATGGAGTTGTACGTGGTTTCATTGATTGTTGTAAAGTCATGCTGCTGCAGATTTCTATCATATTTTCTCTTCTATAGAAAATTATTATTATTTGATGTTCACCTTTGGAAGCAGGAGGGTTCACAAACTTTAGTATTTATTGTTTCAAATTTGTCAGAAGCTTATTCTTGATTGGTTATGCTACGAACTTCTAAAGACATGCTTTCTGATTTGATTGATCTGCAGCATTCTCTAGCAAGCCAGTTTGCACAACTCTTAGAAGGGAAAGGCTTTGTGAGTAGACCTACTTTTCACAGATGGTCTAAATGATGTGAAAATTTTGCATTAGAACTAGATGGTGATCTGAATCTCATGCGTCATGCCAATATATGAAGGTTGTTAGTGTACATTTCTTATGACAGCTCAGAAAAAGTTCTATGTTTACTGAAAGATTTACGTGCAAGCAGAATTTGTTCTGGTAATTGTATTCTGCTCAATCCTGTATTCCCCTATCCTTCTATAATGCCACATTCTCTCCCCTTCAATTATCTAATATAATTTATCTACTGTTTTCTTTTCTGCTCTATATAGGTCACTGATGAATTGAGGCCAATGAATTATGGAACTTCAAATCCACTCAGCGACTCTTGGAACATTAAAAATAACAAGGTTCAAAATGGTTCAGGTTCAGGAATCAAGATTGTGCATTGAAATTGGACATAAGATTCTAAGGGGACATTGAGCATTGACCTCTAAAGACAGAAGCTTGCAATATGGGACTTAACTTATTGACTGGGGGGTATTGTACCCTGTAGACCTGTCAGAGAGCACTGAGCACGTATCAAACACAGAGGACTGTTTTCCTGATGTCAAGCCTGGCGAAAGTGCATAATTCATGGGCCCAAAGAAGAAGCAGCTAGTCCCATAACTGTACAAGTGCTACCTAGGTTCTGTGCCAAACACCTTGGGATCGACTCAAACCAGAGCATTGAAGGAGGCAAACAAGCACCTGAACCACAACCTTCAGTTGTGAATACACTTGCATCAAATTCGGTCCTTGTAATATCATATGAACTTGAGTGAAGAAAGATCAAGTTCATGGCCTGAATCAGAAGCCCTGGTTGTCTGTGGACCGTACCTGAATTCAGCCTTCAAAAGACTGCACTATCACAGAGGTATTCTTTAATTTCAGGATTTTTTCTGTTCATTCCAAAATTAAATGGAAGGAAAAGAAAACTTAGGGTTTGATATGCTCATAAAGTGAACTGTCAAATCACTTGAAAGTCAAGCAGTGGAAGAAACTTAGCTGAGAATATATTGCATCTATGGATATGATTTGTTTTTCATTTCATGCCAGTTTTTTAATCCCTTTTTTGTTTTTCCCATGTATGAAAAATGCAAGTTGCATTCTGTCTTGTATAGAACATAAAATTATTTTCTGACTCGAGAATCATGCCATCCTCATCTAGCATAGTCTCATATCATTGAGATTTCCATTTCCAAATGCGACAAGCATTTCCATTTTCAATTTCTCATATCATCCCATTATTGTATTAGCAACAATCATGCAAATTTGTGCCATAACTAGGGAAATTACTTGACTTTGATTAAGCACATAAGCAATCATAGGACATGAAGAAGAATTGCAGATATCTTACTCTCATTAGCACAGAAACTCAACAATAGAACCAACAAATTCTTGTTGGCAGAACCAATACAAAAAGAATGCTGAACAAAAGAAGCTTATTAATGGTGGATGGTTATTGTTTCCATGTCCCATTTACTGCTGCAAATCAAACAAGGCTTAAGGGCTGCTAGCTATAATAAGTTAGCAGAAATTGATTGACGTAAACTGCAGTTTGGCTCGTCAGCAGCATAGTTTCAGTGATGCCAGAAGTTGGCGAGTTTGAAGGGAGCCCATTTTCACAATTGTAAGTCAGGGTTATCAGCTGGCCTAATTCATGGATGCTTTTGTACTGTCTCTGCTGCGACAACCGGTGAGCCACCTTGAGCTTGTCCTGCATATCCTTATAGAATGCCACACAATTGCCAAATGACTTTTTCAAAGCTGGATCTGCAGAATTGTCACGAAACCAAACAAAACTGTTGTAGTTTTTGCTAGCTTGTTTCGATAGAAGCTCGAGAGATATTAGAGACAGTAGAGGGAGGTCGGCTGAGCCAGTACGCGAATCACTCTCTAATATGGCCTCACAAGTTTCTTGGTTTTGTGTTTGAGAGCAAATGGCAGCCAGGATATCTTCAGTGATTCCATTAGAGGGGTAGATGATTAGAGAAGCTACCAAGAGAAAAACAGCAGAAGCTACAAATGTAAAAGAGCACATTGTAGCTAATCTCTTGTGTTCTTTCCTTCCGTAGCAAGAAGGAAGGTCAATGAGTATAAAAAACCTCCATCAACCTTAATATTCTTCCCCAAAAATCTCATGCATTGAATAGAATATAATAGTGAATCCAATAATCGATATTTTTGCACGAAAAAATTGTTAATGCAGACAAGAAAAAAGTTCAGACAGAATGCAACTTGCAGTTAGATAGAATATAGTACAGCAAGGAAAGCAGAATATTATATCATTTAGAAATCATGTGATAAATGCAAATTAATTAAGAATGGATTGTTCTGTCTCAACTAGAATCTAAAATTAATTAAGAATGTATTATTCTGTCTCAAATAGAATAGAAAATTCTTCTTTCTCTCTGTAGCCAGCTAAGGAGTGGAATGATTTTGTAACATTCCAATCCCAAATGTCATTTCATTTGGGCCTCGGAGTCTTTGGAATGCTATTTTAGCAACCGGGGATCTAGCCGCTAATAGCGTAAATTATAAATTAGTCCTTCTAATTTTTAAAAATAAATTTAATAATCTTTTTTGGTTTAAAAACTAATCAATTAGTCCCTTAACTAGTGCTGATCATGATTAATTTTAATATTATTTTATTTTAAAAACATCTAGTTTCTCGCTAATCTTTTTATACTTTTTTCCTTTTTCTAGTTATTAAAATAAAAAATAAATTAAAAAAGAATGAAAGGGATTAAGTTACTTATAAATTTAAAAATATAAGGATTAATTAATTAGTCATTAAAACTAAAGGAACTAATTTGTAATTTACTCCCACTAAAAAAATTACCAAATGTTCAACTTGCTATTTTGACTTTTTCTTTTCAATCAAAACGAACCTCGGGGTCACAATTTGGAATCAGAAATGATTTTACTAGATCTTTTTTCTTGTATTTTTTTCACTTTTGTGTGTTTGAATATGTGCATCAAAAAGAAAAGAAAATTGAGTTTCATAGCAAAAAGAATTAAAAGGTAAGACATAAAAAAATTTTTAAAAAATTAATTTAACCTAATTTTTTTTCTATAAATTGCAATAATTAACCCAAAGAGGAGGTTGAAGATGATGGTGAGGTTGTAATTTGGTCCCTGTAAAATTAGAACCTTTCATTTCTAGTCCTCCTACTTCTTTTCAAAATGTTGAGATTTGTTGTATGCTTGTTATAGGTATACAAGATTTCATGTGAATGATTACACTAGAAGTGTTGTTATTCTGTATTCATTGACAGACAACTTGTCTACCACGTTTGCCTTTTTTCTCTTTTTGAGTAAATTATAAATTAGTAGTTCTAGTTTTTCAAAACAAATTAAATAACTTTTTTAGTTTTAAAAACTAATTAACTAGTTCCTATATTTTTAAATTTATTTGTAATTTAATCATTCTCGTTAAATTTTATTTTATTTTATTTTATTTTATTTTAATATATATAGAGAGAGTATTAACGAGAAATAAAGATATTTTTTAAAAAATAATAATATGAAATTAATCATTTGTTTTACAAAACTAAAAGAAATAATTTATAATTTACTATTCCTTTTTCGATCCATCTGTCGGTACTCTTTTGATAATATCAAAGAGCTTTTTCATTAGATGCTGAAATGCTTACATTTACTTTCACATTTTTGTGAAGGAAAAAAAAATTCAACATTTCTTTCAACATTCAGGATGCAAAGGTAAGGTTTCTGCCTTTCGTGTGTAAAATGTTGTAGCATTTATGTTGCAAACGAAAAACTTGAATGCCACAGAACTATTTACCTATCAGGAAAATTAAAAAGCTTCCTATGAATTTTTTGATAAATTTTATTTTATTTCAAAATTAATTTTGTGGGTTCAGATGTAATTTTTTTTTTTAATCTTCCGAGCTGATACAAAGTTGGAACAGGAGTACAGGTAAAGAAGAGTCTGTTCTTATAAATAATAATTGATCTTCCCAGACTTTTTAACGATTTATGGTTGCATAGATAAAATCAGTAAAACGTCTTGTGCTGGCCTTGGTAAGATCTTATTCATTATGGTTCATGAGATCCCATTCTGAAGATTAGAATCAGCTTTCAAAGAAATGAAATACATTGAAGGTTGAACGGAAATTACTAAAGCAAATCATGATCATGAATTCCAATCGACTCCACCATTGTTTGTCCATCACGTAAATAATGAAAAACTTATCATATATTACTGAAGGAGGATGGATAAAGGTTCCTCCCAAACTTGCTATAGATAATCAACAGATAATATCCCACTTAGTAATATATGGGATATTAGCAAACCAGCACAAAAAAAGAAAAATAAAGAACAGAGTTTTTCATCTACGTTTTAGTAGGGAATAAAAAACTACTAAATCCACGCAATTCTAGCTGCCATTACTAAGCGGCGGATGGGGCGGTAACGTAGTGAAGAACACCAGCCTCCGATAGCGCCGCCAGGAATGGCTGCATCTCACCTCCCGCTGCAGCAACCACATTGTTGTTGTAGTCCAAGGACTCATCATCGTAAATGTCCCACCATTTCTGGACAAGCATCTTGATGTCTTCCCTGTCCATATTCTTCTCTTCTCCGGTGTACCTCCATGGCTTAGATCCCTGCAAAACAATACGGGACAATATTAATACCATCGTTTTAAATCTAGATTTATATAAACTTATGAGCATAAACATTTTAGAATCTTACAGCAGCACAATAGTGAACAACTTTGACTTTGTCCAGGTTGATGTTCTCAGGATGGCGCCATAGCAAGGCCAATACAAGGTTGTAATCTGAAGGAATTGGCTTATAAACATCCCTGAAAAACATGTTCAGGAAATCCTGCAAAGACAAAACAAAAATAGATTAAAATTTCTGTCTGATCAAATTTTTCTGACAACAAGTCCTGACAGAGAGAGATAAATCTGTACCTGCTCAGCAAAGAGGGTAGGAGGGGTGACTTTGAGGGTCTCCAAGAGGTCATGATATGTGGATAGATTTGGCTCATAAACAAACATGCCAGCGTTGAAGTAAAGAGGAGGCTTAGGACCCATCTCAGCAGGCCATTTGACCTTATCAGGACACTGTTGGCAGTAACCAATCTTGTACTGTGGGCTATTGCTCCATGTTTTCTCACAGAAGCAGTCCCTTGCAGCGTAGAAGTAGCCATCAGGCATGTCAAAGAGGTGATCTATGTTATCAAATACTTGGATATCACCATCCAAATATATCAACTTGCTGTATTCCACAAACTGCAATCAAAGAAACAAGAAAACCCATATTCAGGAGATGAGTTCATCCACAAACTTTAAAGTTTCACGAAAAGATTTAAAAGTATTAGTCGTGTATATATATACATGCATACATACCTCCCAGATACGAAGCTTGGAGTAGTTGATGACATAATAAGCCATAGCAAAGTGAGTGTCGCGATTTTCAGGAGGATGAACAGGCTCAATCTCCCTAACTATGCACCCTTGAGACACAAGTATCCTCCTGTGTTCCTCTGGAACGTCAGGCAAGATAGCCACCAAAAGAGGATACTTGCTTTGAGCCTTTCTCAAGCCCTTGGCTAACCCCACAACACCCTTCCAATAGTCTCCATTGCCAGCCAAAAACGTAACATATGCACAGCTTGATATGCTTGCTTGCTTCACAAGAGGATTGGTATTGTTAGCTAGAGTATTAGTAGTACTAATTTGAGGACCCATGATAATTACAAAAGTTTCGTTTGCTAAGAACAAAAGGAGACAAAAAAAGGTTGCACTAAGTTGCTTTGATCTCTTGAGATTTTGGTTAAGATCAGTGGAGTTATGGTGATGGGCAGGGGTGAATATATAGGAAAATGGAGGCGAATTAAATAAAATTTCCAAAGGTAAGTGAAAGGATAAATATAGTAATTAATTAATTTTAAATAAAAAATAAATAAATGGCCTTTCTTGGGTTGGAAAGAAAACATTACATAGTAAAAAAAAAAAAAATTAGAAGAGTCCACATTTGCCAAGTCCATTTCTTGCCTTTGAATAAGATAATATAATTAATGAATTTATGATTTTTTTAAAAAAAGAAAAAGAAAAAAAACATGACTTATCATTTGTTTCCATTTGTAAACGCTGACGTTTAGGATCAAAATCCCGAAGATATGGAAGATTGATTGCGAATGTAAATCTGACGGTTATGATGGTTAAGACAGAGAGCATGGAAATGGCCTGTCATGATGGTTAAGAGTTCCCATTTGACGGTTATTTTGCTTTTTCTTCTAGAACTAAAACACCCTTTGATATCTTCATTTGATTACATTTTATTGCAGAAGATTGTTTTTGCTGTTTTACACCGGTCTTGAGGGTATTTGGGTCAGAAGAGTAATTATCATAGAAAATAAGAAATAAAAGAGTATTAACTATTAGTGTGAATAAAATAAGCAAGATAACCCAACAACTTTCCCTTTTCTTTTTTATTTTATGACTATTATTTCTATTTTTTAAAATATTAACGAATCAAACTATCTTTATATAATATGCTAAATTTTTAATTTTATTATTTTTCTCATTAAATAAATTTTATATTAATTTTTAAATTTATTATTTTAATAAGATTTTCAAATCAACCTATCAGAAGTATTTATACGATTTTCATATAAAAACAAAAGTTTTTATTTAACAAGTTTGTAAGGTATTTTTTAAAACAAATAACAAAATTAGTTATGTTTACATCACGAGAATAATTCTAATGATTTGAACTAAAATCTTGATAAAAAAAATAAATTAAAAACTTAATACATATTTAAAAATAAAATTGATTTCGTCAAAGAGATAAAGGACAGATAAAATGATTGCATTATTATCTCATAATAGAATTAGCTATTAATCCTTTTTTAAAACATAATATACCCTTCGATTTTCAATTAGTTGCATTTTATTACACAAATTTTTTTTCTTATTTTATGACTCTTGATGATACTTTTTTCAAAATAATAATAGGAATTAAGAGGGAAAAAATGGAAAGAGTAAAAGTGTAAATTAAATCATTACGAGTATGAGACTGTTAGTTAACCATCACCGACCAGGGCCTACCATTACAGGACATGGGCCCACCATAACCCAACACGAAAGCCCACACGGTTTAAACCATCAAATCGATTTTATCCATGTGTCTTTAAGCCCCAGAAGCCTGTCATTTTTTAATAAGAGAGACCTGGTAGCGAATTTAGTGGGTCAAGTAGGGCCCATAAATTTCTCCAAACGCCACGTAGGACACGTGGCAGACACAAACACGTCTGTGTCTTACAAAACTATATATTTATTTTATTTTTAAATTTCATTTATAATTTAATTCTTTTTCTAATTTAGTTTTGTTTTAATAAATAAAAAAAGGAAATAGAGTAGATGATATTGGAAGATTAATAAGAAAACAACGTATTTTATTTTTAAAAAATAGTATTAAATTTAGGGTGGTCAATATTACTCAATAAATAATTTTATTACATTTAATAATACATGGATGAGTTAATTATAAATTAACGTTATTTCTGTCTAACAGAAACTAATTAATTAATTCTTCTAGCATCATAAATAATTATACATATAGTTTCTTGACCACTCTAAATTCAGTGGTTTTTCATTGGTAATCAAATTTCTCCACTATATCTAATTCTCTTTTTTATTTTATGTTTCAAGAAAAAAAATTGTGTTTAATTTTTTATAATTTTTTCTTTTTGACTATTTTATATCCGTTATCAATTTTTTTCCTAATACGGCAAGGATTGATTAATTTTGTTAAATTACATGAATTTAGTTATAATTTACTCAATAATATATCCCAAAAAATTCCATTTTCTTATTAAAAAAAAAAACGAGAATTTTGTAGGCTATTCCAACCTCAACCTACAACCTCAAGCTACGTACCTTTGAGGGAAGGACAACATCAATTAGAATTGTCACCAATAAAGGACCATAGTGTTAGGATTCAAATTCAAAATTTTCAACTAAAAGGACGAGTTGTCTTATAGGTTTTTTTTTTTTAATATATGAAAAATTTTCGAATTTGAGATTTTTGAAAAGAAAAAAAATGATACTAATATCAATACCAATTAAACTTTCACTCATTAGCTGAATTGTCTTATCGTTAAACCGACAGACCCTTTGCTGGCAAAAAATCTATTTAATGCGTGTCGAGATTGCGGATGCAGAAGGTAACAATGAAGCTATGGTGGGGATTTCTTTTAGCGTTGGCGTTCTTGCAGGTTGCAAACTGTCTGGTTTTAGTTTTGTTAGTTGGTCTAATATGGGACCTAAGGTTTTTTAAATTAAGGTGGATAACGAAAAGGGTTCGTGTAAGATCATGTTTGGACTCAGCCGATCGACATCGAGTTTGGATAATGTTTTTTGGACTTTATTTAATTCAGGTTGCTAGTAAGATAATGTTTTTGATTTTGGACCAGTGAAATCAATGACATGGTACTGGCCGCTATGGTTGGGAATTTGACTAGACTGAACTTTCGGGAAAGTTTACGTTGTCCTCTTGTTGTCCTACATTTGGAGGGTCCTTGGGATGACACAGAGGTCAGAGAATTGCAAGTAATGCGGCCATGATTGTACGTAGATATATAAAAAGAAAAAACAAAACAGAATACAAATTCAATTCTTAAGAGTTAAGAAACCTTTGATAAGTTCAGTGTTTGCGCATGCAGAAAAAGCATTAGTACGAGAAGCTTGAATGATTAGGAACCATCCCAGTCTTATGAAGTTCAGCAAACAATATCCAACCTTCTTTCATGTTTCCATTCTGCACAAACCCAGACATTATGGCTCTCCAAGAATTTGTGTTCCTCACAGGCATTCTCAAAAACATTTTCGTTGCTTGTTCTAGCATTCCATTCTGTGCATATCCAGCAATAGTAGCATTCCAAGTAACCACATCTGGTTTCGCAATCTCATCAGATATATTCCTAACATCATCAATCCATCCATTCTACAAATATGCAGAAATTATTGTGTAATTGGTGTTAAGTGGGACGTACTAGAAACGAATCAAATAAAAAATAGTGTCCTTACTCACAACTGCTCTAAAGGTTTTTATTAGGATTTTGATCAAACAACAAATATAAGAAATATTATCCATATTTATAACATAAACAATTAAGATGTTGTTTGATAATGAGAAATAAAACAATAAGAATGAGAATGCGAGTATCGAAATGAAAAACAAGAAATGAAAATCAAAATATTGTGTTTGGTATCTTATTATTATGAATCACAATAAAACATTGAAATAATTATTACTGTGTTTGGTATAAACAAATAAGAATCAAAATAATATTATATATTTACCATTGTATCATTCAACAACCATAGTAAAATTATTGAAAAAACCTTAATGGGCCTATACAATGAGATTATCGTGCTAACTTTACGTAACATTATAAATTATGGGTTACATCCAAATAAGTTTCTATAATTTAACAAGACATATTAATGGTAGAATAAACGAAAGCTTTAACCTTCAGTTTGTCTCTAACTTAAATCTTCAGTTAACCCAAAAAGGCAAGCAATTATTACTTCCAACCTTAAGCCCATAAAAAAATATTTCATTTTTCTTCTGAAAACTAAACTACCCTTTGATATCTTCATTTGATTACAATTTACTGCACAATTTTTTTTCTATTATATACCATTTTTTTTTTTGCTAATTATCTTATAAAATAATAAATAAAAGAGTATTTTTTTATAATTTTAACTAAAATAAACAAGATAAACCCAATAAGTTTCCATTTGCTTTTTTTTTTTTATGACTATTATTTCCATTTCTTAAAACATAAAATATCATTCGTTTTTCAATTGATTGCATTATATTACTCAAGATATATTTCTTTTTATGCTAATTTAGAAGGTAATTTTGTAAAAGAATAATAATAATTATAATAAAGAGTTAAAAATGGAAAGAGTAAAGTGTAGATTAAATAATGCTTTTTAGTTAAACCACTACCAACCTGGGCCTACCATTACCAGGGAATGGGCCCTCTTTAACCCAACAAGAAAGCCCACGCTGTTTAAACCATCAAATCAATTTTATCCATGTGTTTTTCACCCCTAGAAGCCTCTCACTTTTTCAAATAAAAGGAGATCTGGTAGTTGAATTTAGTGGGTCAAGTAGGGCCCATAAATTTCTTCAAATGCCACGTGCACAACATGTAGAACACGTGGCAGACACAAACAAGAAAACTATTTATTTATTCTTTTTCCAAAATTTTCATTTATAATTTCATTCTCTCCTTCTTTTATGTTCCTTTTCTAATTTATTTTATTTTAAAAAATAAAAATATATATAGATAATATAGGAAAGATTAATAAGAAAAGAAGATATTTTTTAAAATAAAACAAAGCTAAATTTCACGTGGTCAACATTAGTAAATGGATTATCTAATTATTTTTAATAATAGAGGAGATTAACTAATTATTTTTGTAAGCTACATTAACTCTTCGGTGTGAGTATTGCAAGAGTTAATTACAACTTAGCTCTTGTAATATCATAAATAATTAACTAATTTCTTGACAGATATTGATCACTATCAACTTAGTATTTCTTCATTTATAGTCAAATAACTCTCTTTTTTATTTTATGTTCCGATAAAGAAAAAAACTGAAAACGAATATGAAATTATCAAAAAGAATAATTATCTATAATTAAATTTAAAAATGTAGAGATTAAACATATGATCCCTAATACAGAAATTATTAATTAATTAATTTTCTTCAATTAAGTTATAATTTACTCAAGAATATGAAAAAAATCCATTTTTCATAAAAAGAAAAAAATAGAAAAACCGAGAATTGCGTAGGCTATTACGACTTCAAACTACCTTGCTGGAAAGAAAAGACACAGTAACTAACATCAGTTAACATACTGTTGATTGACAGAGCTGTCTTTATCATTGAATCAACTCCTTGCTTGTAAAAAAATCCATCAATGCGTGTCGAGTCTAAGGATGCAGGAAGGTCACAGGGAAGCTACAAGGTGGGGCATTTGTGTCAGTGTCGGCAATCTTGCAGTTTGCAATCTGTCTAGTTTTGTTAGTTGGTCAAATATCGGACCTGAGGCATTAAATTAAGGTTTCTAACAAAAGGGTTCATGTTCAGATCTCTGGTCTCAGCCGACATTGGGTTTGGATAATGTTTTTGGACTTTGTTTGGTTCAGGTTGCTGGAAAGATAATGTTTTGATTTTTGAACCAGTAAAATCATGACTTAGTACTAGCAATGGTTGGGAATTTGACTAGATTGGTCTCTTGAGAAAGTTCCATTGTCCTCTCGTTTTGCACATCCAACAATCGGAGTGTCCTTGGGATGACACCGAGGCCAGAGAATTTCTCAACCAATGCGACCACGATTGTTACATAGCTAGAAAATGAATACCAAAACTGAAGACAAATTCAATTCTTAACAACATTTTAATCAATTTTCTTCCTCCATCAACTGCTAATCAAACATAGGATTATTGACTCAAAGATTTATGTTTCACGATATGCTTCGAGTTCAGACCATGCATAATTATCATCATGAGGCCTCATATTTATTAAGATATAAAATCCTTTAAACCACCTAAGTATTAAAAATAAGTCATTCATGCTAATAAGCTATTGATTCAACGATAAATATATTGATCTTTAGATGAATTTTTTATCAGTACATAATGTTCAAATCCTATAATTACACTTGTTAAAAAAAATTAAATATTATCGTTCATGTTTCGAGTTTTCTATATGCTAGGAATTGTCGTTAACAAAAATAAACAAAAAAGTAATCAAAATTCTTTAAAAAATCTCCTCTCTAATAAAGACACGGTTGTTAGCTAAAAAAATCATCATTTTAATAATTAAAATATTTTTCGACACATCGATTGTGTCAAGATTTAAAGTGAATCCGATATTTGAATCGACGTATCTTCCGACGAAGAGGTCCAATAATCGTTTCAATATGATGCCATGATAAAAAAAAAAAAAAAAACTTAATTTAGTTTAGAAAGTTGGAGTTTAAATAAAAAATAATCCGACACAAATAAAATACTTTAAGTAATAAATTTAGAATTAAATTATACGTGCTACATTTTTTAGGAAAAGATTTTTTTTTTATCAATATCTTTTCCAAACATGACCAACTCTTCATCAATGTGGATTTTATTTTTATTTTTTATTTTTTATTTTATTTTTATTTTTTGTACATGGCAGGGGTGTAGGGTGGATCAAATCCTCAGCTTATTAAATCAATTCCATGCCGTATCCATTAAAAATTATCATGCATGTTACCATGTCTATTATTTTAGTAAGAATTATTTGTCTATTTATTTAGACAGTTCATACCCGTTATGTGTCTATATCCAACTCATACCCATTTATCCTTTTTCTTTTTCTTTTTCTTTTTCTTTTTTTTTTTTTGTGAAGAAAATTTTAAATTAATATAAAAAAATGATGAGAAGTGATTATTTTTAAATTTTATTTCTTAAGAAAGTAATGGGCCGATGAGATGTGAAATTAGACCATGAGAAGTCTAACACAGAATTTAGACATTTACGTCTACTTCTGAGAGCCTTCTTGTTAAATCTCAAGCAGTAGCTTCTTTCACATTCCAACTCCCTGGCTATAGTATCTGAATAAACAGAAACTACAAGAGGGCCATTCTGTAGGTACTGAAGTTTCCAGATGATCTCCATATGCAAAGCAAAAGAAAGATTTACTAGATGAATGTAGCTGCGATATGGACAAGAATCAGTTCAAAAATGGGCAAATCAATGATCTAAATAAATTATCAAGCCATGAGACATCCGACACAAAATTTGGACATATAAACCACTACTTTTAAGAGTCTTGTTGTTGAATCTCAAGCAGTAACTTCTTCGACAAATGTCACCAGTACCTACTTGAAATCAAAAGGAACTTCCTCTGTTGGTTCTGCTTTGGTGAAATTGCAGCTTCAAAATTGATTCTGCAATGATGGATAAATTTGGGAAGAAGAAGATACGATCCTGAAATGATGGCATTTTTTCTTTATTTCGACTCCAAGAAGATACGATTCTGCAATGATGGCTAAATCTCAAGCAGTAGCTTCTTTCACGTTCAAACTGCCTGGCTGTAGGATCTGAATAAACAGAGACTACAAGACAGCCATTCTGCAGCTACTGAAGTTTCCTCCACATGATCCATATGCAAAGCAAAAGAAATATTTACTAAGATGAAGTAACTAAGTAGCTGCGACAGAGACAAAAATCAGTTCAAAAATGGGCAAATCAACGGTTTATATAAATTATCAAGACCATGAGAAATCTGGCACAAAATTTGGACATTTAAACTCTACTTTCAAGAGCCTTCTTGTTGAATCTCAAGCAGTAAACTTCATCCACAAATGCCACCACCTATTTGAAATCAAAAGTAACTTCCTCCGCTGGTTCTGCTGCAGTGAAATTGCAACTTAAAAAAAGATGGCTAAATTTGGGAAGAAGAAGATACGATCCCGCAATGATGACATTTTTTTCTTTATTTCGACTCCAAGATCGGTTTTCTCCCCCGCTATATGGGTTCCATTGTTGTACCCAAATTTTCAAGATATGAATGATATGAGATCGAAGTTAAAATTTGGAATCGAAATGATATGAGAGAGATTGAAGGTTTTGAAGAACGTATACAGTTCGTGAATTATAGTCTGCACAATAGTTAATCAATAACATAAAGAAAGAGAAAAAGAGAAGGATCTGGACATGTGCATACACAGAAAACATGTTCATATATTTACTAGAGGAGGGATAAAAGGTCCTCCCAAAGTGACAAGCAAATTCAAAAGAACAATATCCCACTTGAAAATATAGAGGATATCAACAATCAGCAAACTGTGTCACCAAATAAAAACTGTAAAAGACATTGTCAATTTTCCTCTACAATTTGACTACCTAAAACTACTAGCTCCAGTGCTCCACAACCTACAAGCACTAAGCAGCAGATGGGGCGGTAAAGTAGTGAGCAACACCAGCCTCGTGCAGCGCCGCCAAGAGTTGTTGCAGATCAGATCCAGCAGAAGCAACCACAGGGTTTTTGTAATCCAAGGACTCGTCATTGTAAATGTCCCACCAGTTCTGGACCAACATCTTGATATCTTCCCTGTCCATGTTGTCTTCTTTCCCTGTGTACCTCCATGGCTTAGACCCCTGCAGACCCATACATGTGTAACGCCATTAGAAGAGCAGAACTTGATTTCCAAAAGAGTAAAATTATTGAGCATGGTAAATACTTACAGCAGCGCAATAGTGAACAACTTTGACTTTGTCAAGGTTAATGTTCTCAGGATGGCGCCATAACATGGCCAATACAAGGTTGTAATCTGAAGGAATTGGCTTGTAAACATCCCTGAAAAACATATTCAAGAAATCCTGCCAAGAAAAAGAAATTAAATTAGTGTCTGATCTATTTTTCCTGCCGACAAGTCCTGAACAAGATAAGTATAATATTACTTTACCTGCTCAGCAAAGAGGGTAGGAGCGGTGACTTTGAGGGTCTCCAAAAGGTCATGATACGTGGATAGATTTGGCTCGTAAACGAACATGCCAGCATTGAAGTAAAGAGGAGGCTTAGGACCCATTGCAGCAGGCCATTTCACCTTATCAGGACACTGTTGGCAGTAACCAATCTTGTACTGTGGGCTATTGCTCCATGTTTTCTCACAGAAACAGTCCATCACAGCGTAGAAGTAGCCACCAGGCATGTCGAAGAGATGGTCTATGTTATCAAATACTTGGATATCACCATCCAAATATATCATCTTGCTATACTCCACAAACTGTAATCAAAATTTTCAAGGTTAAGTCTCCATCAAATAAGAAAAAAAGAACTTCAAAAGAAATCAAAGTGCTGCAAGCTAGTTCGGTTAATAAATGCACACATACCTCCCAGATACGAAGCTTGGAGTAGTTGATGACATAATAAGCCATAGCAAAATGAGTGTCCTGATTCTCAGGAGGATGAACAGGCTCGATCTCTCTCACAATGCATCCTTGAGAAACAAGAATCTTGCGATGATCCTCAGGAACATCAGGCAAGATAGCCACCACAAGTGGATACTTGCTTTGGGCCTTCCTCAACCCCTTGGCTAACCCCACAACACCTTTCCAGTAGTCTCCATCACCAGCCAAAAACGTAACATATGCACAACTTGATATGCTTCCTTGCTTCACAAGAGAGTTGGTGTTGTTAGCAAGAGTAGCAGTAATATGATGAGCCATGTTATCAAAGTTATCCAAAAAATTCTTTTGGTTAGAGAAAGGAAAAGGGTTTTAAAACAAATCGTTTGTTTACCAAGAAAAATAAGAGAGAAAATTTAAGGTTATGAAGAAAAATGTATTGCTTTGATCTTTGAAGGTTTTGGTTGTGAAGTTGTGTTGAGGGGAGGGGGTGTATATATAGGGATTGGAGGAAGCGTTAAATTAAATTTCTCCAGGCAGGTGAGAGATACAGTAGTAATTCCTCTCTGGGGTTGGAAAGAAATATTAAAAAATTTAAGAGAGTCCACACTAATCCGACAAGTCACTTTTTGCCTTTAAACAAGATTTTGGATCTTTCATGGTTGTATCGTCTGTTTCCATTTGTAACGGTAAACTTTTAGGAATGAAAATCCCAAATCCAAATCTGACAGTTGTTATGGACTAAGTAAATCTAAAAATTACGAGAGATTCATGGAATTGGACGGTGCAAGATAAGCTTATTAAAAATTCTTTTCTTTTTTCTTTCTTAACCAAAATACCCCTCGATCTTTTGGTTTGATTACCTTTTACTGCGCAAGCTTTTTTTGAGATTTTATCCCAGTGTTTAGGGTATTTGCGTCAAATGAGTAACTATTAAAGGAAAAGGGTATTGAAAGAGCATCTACGTAATAAACTCAGCAAAAAAATAAAAAATAAAAAAAAATCGATATTTCTATCATATTGTTTCTTTACAATCATAAAAATAATATATTGATTCCTTTTTTTTTTTGTAAAATTTAAATTTAAATTTATAAAATTCAATTCAACTCATTTATTAAAAAAATAAAATTCAATAGTTCAATCATAATACAATTTGAATTTAATCCGTTGGCAATACTGTATGTATAAATGATAATTATATCATTATATTTTGATAATTACTAATAAAATTCGATTTGATGTAATATATTGAGAAATTTATACCTAATCACACCTGATAATCTTTATCAATTAAAGTGTTTTATTTATTTAGAATAATACTAGAATATCCTTCCATCTTCATGTTCTTACTTCCGTCAAAAGCAAGATTATAAAAAAATAAAAATAAAAGTAAAACAGTAAAAGTGTTTTTAAAATAATAATTACCATTCGTTAAGGACCACCGACCTGGGCCTACCATTAATACCACAGCAACTCCTATAACCCAACAGAAAGCCCACACGGTTTAAGCCACCTGATCCATTTTGTGCACGTGCCACACCCCTAGAGGCCTGTCATTTTTTAGCTGGTCTAGTAGGACCTACCAAACTTAAGGGTTCCACGTGGACATTTTTTAGCAAGAAGATTACCTGGTAGTGTCTTTTTAGGTGTGAGCAATAGATGGGGTGAAAAAATCCATTGCGTGTCAAGACGCATGGGTCGAATGTTACAATAAAATTAAACTAAAATTATTAGATATTATTTATTATAGTATTTGAAATATTATTCACCTAAATTTATCTTTATTATCTAATCAAACTCAGATGTATTATTATTTTTATTATGTAATAATTTTTTTTATAGTTTTTAAACATTTATTATGAAAGTTTTTGTAATATTATATTTTGGTCCTTTTTTTAAATATTATTTTTTTAGTTTTTAAATATTTCTTATTTGATTTTCATCTCTTTGGTTTTTAATTTTTTTCTTTGATTTTTTTAAATTAAAAATATAAGGCAAAAAGATGTATAAAAAAATAATTTACAAAATAAGGTTTTAGCTAAAAATATGGATAGAGATGAATAAATTATATTTTATAATAAACAATTATGAAAATATAAAATAATTTATAAATAATATTTTATAATATTGTTCAGTTTTGATTTGATATATTTTGATTGACGTCACATAATATAATACATAATATAATACGATATATTAAACGTAAATAATTTTATATATTTTATCCGACTTATAACGCAATGTGGATAAGAAAACTTGTGGTGCCTAAAGTATGAGATTAAAGTTTATTTTTGGGACAATCAACAATGGGTTTCGGATAATATTTTTGGAAGTTATTTAGTAGAAAGATAAAAGTTTTGACTTTGGACCAAGAAAATCAACAAGGATTGGATTACAACTGGTTATTGCTGTGAACTTGACTAGATTAAATAGATTAAATATGGAGTATACCGTTATCCTCTAAGTTTGTAATATATTCTACATTTAGAGTGTATTTAATATATATATATATATATATATTATTGAAGTTATAGGATATTTTCACGTCTCTTTTTTTCAGGTTAATCGAAAATAAATAGTTTTTTCAAAAAATTTAACAATTTTTTTCTTAACATTGAATCAAAAGTTCAAATTAAAAAAAAAAAAAGTTTAAAGGAATACAACAAACTTTTTCAGTCATCATACCATCTATTTTTTATAAAATCAAAACTAATTCTTAGAATTGTGACAAATAAAATTCCTAGTTAATGCATGGATGATTGGAGGCATAGTTATAAGAAAAGACGAAGATGATTGGAGGCATAGTTATAGGAAAAGACTAACTCAATTCTTAAGTGCTATGAGACCTTGGATGCTCAACATTTTTTGTTTTTGTTGATAAAAAACTTCGAGTCATTAAGTTTCTATTAGGTCAATTCTCTTTAAGACATATATTTTCTTTTTGTATTAAGAAAATAATAATAATAAGTTTTTAAAAAATGTTTATATATTTCTATTTTTAAACCAATTGGATTTCGTTGGATTAGATGAGTTGATTGAATTAATCAAACTTGATTGAATCTTCTAAACTAATTAACAACATACCTCCTTATTTATTAATCTTCTACACTAATTAAATAAACTAAGATGAAGGCTATGACCCAAAAAGATTGGTTTGAATGAAAGGAACTTTAATCGTTTAACGAAGTGATCTCGAATTCAAATCATTGTATATTTAAAAAACTCTCTCGATATTATACCTTAAAATTAGTAATATTTCAGCTGATGTAATTGGTTGTATTACTTAAGAAGTTTAACATGTAATGTTTTTAATATTCTTTTTCTACGAAACTCTATATCGAATTCTAATCTTTCTAAGTAAATCTATTTTTAAGTAATGAATCTAAAAAAAAAAAAAAACAAAGTCCTAATTTTAATCATCAAATCAATTCTCTTGAATTATAAGAATATTATGTTATCAAGCAGGTTAGTGCATTGAAACAAATTTAGATTAAATTTTTTATTTTCTTCAACAAAAGTTTTAAAATAATTTTTGTTTGATCTTGTAAAATCAAAGATTTAATCAACAGTAACTAAGTAACAAATTTGACTTAGAGATTTAAATTTTGAAACCTATTCTATGTTATGGGGTAAGTTAAATTCATGCCATTCACTTGTATTGTTTTAACAAGCTCGACTGCTTGAGTACCACTTTCAACAAATGGTTGATATATATATAATTTTAAGATCTCAATTTTATTAGATTCAAATAAAGGACGGAATGAAATGATATGAAAGAAAATATTGAAGATTCGAAATGAAATTAATCAAAGAAAATCACGAAAACGAATTTCTTGATACACAAAATTTTTATATCAATATAAAATAAATGAAGATAAAAGTTGCGTATACACAGAAAAAACTTGTTCGTATATTTACTGGAGGAGGGATAAAAGGCCCTCACAAAATTACTAGCAAATTCAAAAGAACAATAGCCCACTTGAAAATATAAGGGATGTCAACAACCAGCAAACTGTGTCACCAAATAAAAACTGTAAAAGACATTGTGAATTTGCCTCTAAAATTTGACTACCTAAAACTACTAGCTCCAGTGCTCCACAACCTGCAAGCACTAAGCAGCAGATGGGGCGGTGAAGTAGTGAGCAACACCAGCCTCGTGCAGCGCCGCCAAGAGTTGTTGCAGATCAGATCCAGTAGAAGCAACCACAGTGTTCTTGTAATCCAAGCACTCGTCGTTGTAAATGTCCCTCCATTTCTGAACCAACATCTTGATGTCTTCCCTGTCCTTGTTCTCTTCTTTTCCTGTGTACCTCCAAGACCCCTGAAGACCAACATATGTGTTAACGCCATTAGAATGGCAGAACTTGAGTTCCAAATGAATAAAATTATTGAGCATGATTAATACTTACAGCAGCACAATAGTGAACAACTTTAACTTTGATTATGTGCTCTATTCCCTAACCAATCCCACGGTTTCTTAGATACGTTATATAGGGTGGTGTGAACTAAAGAATCTGGAGGAACTAGATCTGTCAAACAAAAATCTGGAGGGCTTACTGTTAAGTTCTTTCTATAGTTACATGCATTAAGCTTGTCACATAACAAGCTCATTGGATCCATACCTTCTACATTCTGAAACCTGAAACCTGAAACAGACAGAGAGCTTGGATCTTTCTTACAACAACTTAAATAGTGGGATTCCTCCACAGCTTATTGAGCTACAATATTCTCTAGTTGTTTCCAATCATTAAATATCTCTAAAGTAGATGCAGAAACTCAAAATATAAAATAATATATATATAAATAAATAAATCTCATTGTCCTTAGGGTGATTATTGCCTCTAACATACTAGGGCATGAAATTTTGATAATTCAGCTTTAGAATTCAACTTTCGCATTTAAGAAACTACAGACAACACTTTTGAAATTTCTTTAAGAAAATTTCTCTTAAAACTATAGAATTTTATGAAGAGAAGAGTTTCCATAACATATTGAGCTATATTCTTTAGTTGTTTTCAATTGTTGAACGTCTCTAAAGCAGATGCAAAAATTCAAAAAAAAAAAAATGCAAGAGAATATAATACTTAATTGTGTGTAGAACATATTCCTACATTATTCTTAAAATGATTATTATTCCCAATATATTGGGATAGAAATTTTCAGAATTCACTCACCGAAGGAATTGTAGACAAAACTTTTGAAATTCTTTCAAGACAATTTATCTTGAAGCTACAAAATTTTATGAAAAGAGTTTCCACAACTTATTGGGTTACATTCTCTAGCTGTGTCTCAATAGTTGAATGGCTTTCAAGTTAATGCAGAAATTCTAAAATAAAAGCAAGAGAACACAGTACTTAATTGTGTGCATTAATGTAATAACTGTTGAGTTGCTAATTTATTGATTACACACAGATATATATATATATATATATATATATATATATATTGTGAAAACCAACATGAAATTAATTATCAAAAAGAATCGATCATAAATAATTAAATTTAAAAATATAGAGATTAAATATATAATTCCTAATACAGCAATGATTAATTAATTAATTTTGTTCAATTAAGTTACAATTTACTCAATAATATGAAGAAAAAAATCCATTTTTTCATTAAAAAAATAGAAAAAACGAGAATGGGGTAGGCTATTATGACCCCAAACCACCTTGCTGGAAAGAAAAGACACAGTAACTAATGTCAGTCAATCTACTGTTGATTAACAGCGTTGTCTTTATCGATGAACCAACTCCTTGCTGTAAAAAAATCCATCAATGCGTGTCGAGTCTAAGGATGCAAGAAGGTCATAGGGAAGCTATGGTGCGGATTTCTGTTAGTGTCGGCAACCTTGCAGGTTGCAATCTGTCTAGTTTTGTTAGTTGGTCAAATATCGGACCTGAGGCATTAAATTAAGGTTGATAACAAAAAGGGTTCATGTTCAAATCTCTGGTCTCAGCCGACATGGGTTTGGATAATGTGTTTGGACTTTGTTTGGTTCAGGTTGCTGGAAAGATAATGTTTTGATTTTCGAACTAGTTTGACTAGATTGGTCTCTTGAGAAAGTTACATTGTCCTCTTTTTTTGCTTATTCGACATTTGGAGTGTCCTTGGGATGACACAGAGGTTAGAGAATTTCTCAGCCAATGCGACCACGATTGCTACGTAGCTAGAAAATGAATACCAAAACTGAAGACAAATTCAAATCTTAACAACATTTTAATCAATTTTCTTCCTCCATCAACTGCTAATCAAACATAGGATTATTGACTCATAAAGATTTATGTTTCACGATATGATTCGAGTTCAGACCATGCATAATTATAATCATGAGGCCTCTAAGATATAAAATCCTTTATACCACCTAGGATTAAAAATAAGAATCATTTGTCTATTTATTTAGACAGTTCATCCCCGTTATGTGTCTATATCCCACTCATACCCATTTATCCTTTTTTTTTTTTTTTTTTTTTGCTGAAGAAAATTTTAAATTAATATAAAAAATGATGAGTAGTAATTATTATTAAATTTTATTTGTTAAGAAAGTAATGGGCCGATGAGATGTGAAATTAGACCATGAGAAGTCCAACACAGAATTTAGACATTTACGTCTACTTGCAAGAGCCTTCTTGGTAAATCTCAAGCAGTAGCTTCTTTCACATTCAAGCTCCCTACCTGACGGCCATTCTGCAGGTACTGAAGTTTCCTCCACATGATCCATATGCAAAGCAAAAGAAATATTTACTAGATGAAGTAACTGAGTAGCTGCGATAGACACAAAAATCAGTTCAAAAATGGGCCAATCAACGGTCTATATAAATTATCAGACCATGAGAAATCTGGTTTGGCATTTAAACTCTGCTTTTAAGAGCCTTATTGTTGAATCTCAAGCAGTAACTTCTTCCACAAATGCCACCACCTATTTGACATCAAAAGCAACTTCCTCTGTTCGTTCTGCTGTAGTGAAATTGCAGCTTAAAAAATAATGGCTAAATTTGGGAAGAAGAAGATACGATCCGGCAATGATGACATTTTTTCTTTATTTCGACTCCAAGATCGGTTTTATGTACCCAAATTTTCAAGATATGAATGATATGAGATCAAAGTTAAAATTTGGAATCGAAATGATATGAGAGATTGAAGGTTCTGAAGAATGTATACAGTTCGTGAATTATAGTCTCCACAATAGTTAATCAATAACATAAAGAAAGAGAAAAAGAGAAGGATCTGGACATGTGCATACACAGAAAACATGTTCATATATTTACTAGAGGAGGGATAAAAGGTCCTCCCAAAGTGACAAGCAAATTCAAAATAACAATATCCCACTTGAAAATATAGGGGATATCAACAATCAACAAACTGTATCACCAAATGAAAACTGTAAAAGACATTGTTAATTTTCCTCTACAATTTCACTACCTAAAACTACTAGCTCCAGTGCTCCACAACCTACAAGCACTAAGCAGCAGATGGGGCTGTAAAGTAGTGAGCAACACCAGCCTCGTGCAGCGCCGCCAAGAGTTGTTGCAGATCAGATCCAGCAGAAGCAACCACAGGGTTCTTGTAATCCAAGGACTCGTCATTGTAAATGTCCCACCAGTTCTGGACCAACATCTTGATGTCTTCCCTGTCCATGTTCTCTTCTTTTCCTGTGTACCTCCATGGCTTAGACCCCTGCAGACCCATACATGTGTAACGCCATTAGAAGGGCAGAACTTGAGTTCCAAAAGAGTAAAATTATTGAGCATGGTATAAATACTTACAGCAGCACAATAGTGAACAACTTTGACTTTGTCGAGGTTAATGTTCTCAGGATGGCGCCATAACATGGCCAATACAAGGTTGTAATCTGAAGGAATTGGCTTGTAAACATCCCTGAAAAACATATTCAGGAAATCCTGCCAAGAAAAGGAAATTACATTAGTGTCTGATCTAATTTTTCTACCGACAAGTCCAGAACAAGATAAACATATATAATCTTTACCTGCTCAGCAAAGAGGGTAGGAGGGGTGACTTTGAGGGTCTCCAAGAGGTCATGATATGTGGATAGATTTGGCTCATAAACAAACATGCCAGCATTGAAATAAAGAGGAGGCTTAGCACCCATCTCAGCAGGCCATTTCACCTTATCAGGACACTGTTGGCAGTAACCAATCTTGTACTGTGGGCTATTGCTCCATGTTTTCTCACAGAAACAGTCCATCACAGCGTAGAAGTAGCCACCAGGCATGTCGAAGAGGTGGTCTATGTTATTAAATACTTGGATGTCACCGTCCAAATATATCATCTTGCTGTACTCCACAAACTGTGATCATTTTTTTCAAGGTTAAGTCTCCATCAAATAAGAAAAAAAGAACTTCAAAAGAAATCAAAGTGCTGCAAGCTAGTTCGGTTAATAAATGCACACATACCTCCCAGATACGAAGCTTGGAGTAGTTGATGACATAATAAGCCATAGCAAATTGAGTGTCCTGATTCTCAGGAGGATGAACAGGCTCTATCTCCCTCACAATGCACCCTTGAGAAACAAGAATCTTGCGATGATCCTCAGGAACATCAGGCAAGATAGCCACCACAAGTGGATACTTGCTTTGGGCCTTCCTCAACCCCTTGGCTAACCCCACAACACCTTTCCAGTAGTCTCCATCACCAGCCAAAAACGTAACATATGCACAACTTGATATGCTTCCTTGCTTCACAAGAGAGTTAGTGTTGTTAGCAAGAGTATTAGTAATATGAGGAGCCATGGTATCAAAGTTATCCAAAAAATTCTTTTGGTTAGAGAAAGGAAAAGGGTTTTGAAACAAATTGTTTGTTTACTAAGAAATAAAGAGTGATGATTTAAGGTTTTGAAGAAAACTGTATTGCTTTGATCTTTGAAGGTTTTGGCTGTGAAGTTGTGTTGAGGGGAGGGGGTGTATATATAGGGATTGGAGGAAGCGTTAAATTAAATTTCTCCAGGCAGGTGAGAGATACAGTAGTAATTCCTCTCTGGGGTTGGAAAGAAATATTAAAAAATTTAAGAGAGTCCACACTAATCCGACAAGTCCATTTTTGCCCTTTAAACAAGATTTTGGATCTTTCATGGTGTATCGTCTGTTTCCATTTGTAAACGGTAAACGTTTAGGATAAAAATCCCAAATCCAAATCTGACAGTTGTTATGGACTAAGTAAATCTAAAAATTACGATATGTATAAATGATAATTATATCATTATATTTTGATAATTACTAATAAAATTCGGTTTGATGTAATATATTGAGAAATTTATACCTAATCACACCTAATAATCTTTATCAATTAAAGTGTTTTCTTTATTTAGAATAATACTAGAATATCCTTCCATCTTCATGTTCTTACTTCCGTCAAAAGCAAGATTATAAAAAAATAAAAATAAAAGCAAAACAGTAAAAGTTTTTTTAAAATAATAATTACCATTAGTTAAGGACCACCGACCTGGGCCTACCATTAATACCACAGCAACCCCTATAACCCAACAGAGAGCCCACACGGTTTTAAGCCACCTGATTGATTTTGTCCACGTGCCACACCCCTAGAGGCCTGTCATTTTTTATCAAGAAGATACCTAGTAGTGGGTTTAGTTCGTCTAGTAGGACCTACCAAACTTCAGATTTCCACGTGGACATTTGTAGGACTCGTGGCTGGCACATAGTCGTCTGTCTTTTACTTCTTTTTAGGTGTGAGTAATAGATGGTGTGAAAAAATCCATTGCGTGTCAATATGCATGGGGCTATGGACTTTTATTTTATTCTTCGAAATTTTCTACTTTTATTAGTTGGTCTAATATGGTACCTAAAGTATGAGATTAAGGTTTATTTTTCGGACAACCGACTTTGGGTTTGGATAATATTTTTGGAATTTATTTAGTAGAAAGATAAAAGTTTTGATTTTGGACCAAGAAAATCAACAAGGACTTGGTTACTACTGGTTATTGTCGGGGGTTTGGCTAGATTAAATACGGAATATACCATTATCTTATAATGTTGTACTATATACATATATACACACACACACAACAAACTTATTGACATTGAATCAAAAGTTGAAGGAATACAACAAACATTTTTGGTCATCATACCATCTGTAAATAAAATCAAAATTATTCTTAGAATTGTGACGAATAAAATTTCTAGTTAATGCATGGATGATTGTAGGCATAGTTACAGGAAAAGAAAAACTCAATTCTTAAGTACTATGAGACATTGGATGCTCACCATTTTTTGTTTTTATTGATTAAAAAAAAAACTTAAGAGTCATTTTCTATTAGGTCAATTCCCTTTAAGACATTCATTTTCTTTTTGTAGTAAGAAAATAGAAATTTTTTAAAAAAATGTTCATTTTTTTCTATAGTTAAACCAATTGGATTTCGTCGGATTGGGTGAGTTGATTGAATTAATCGAACTTGATTGAATCAATGACCTAGATGTTTTCCTTTGAAGCACAACATTAACCTACAACTCAACTAATCATCTGCAACTTTACACTTAACAAGCTTAGATTAGGACACTTGTTGAGTTCATTAATAAGGGAATAAAAGATAAATATATATAAGAGAAAGCTAAGGAATGGCCGGCAATTTTTAGAAGATTTTAGTTCACTAAAAGAAAGAAAGTAAGAAGGAAAGAAGAAGAAAAAGACAAAGAGATTTTCTAAGAAACTTGAATCAAGTAAGTAGGGATTTATTTTAGACCATAAATTAGAATTTCTAAGTGCTTGTTTTATGTGAATTACTTGAGTTGATGATTATGCTTTTATCGGTTGCTTATGTTGATATTGTGAGTTTTTATGGCTTGATATGAGTTTATTGGTTTATATTAGGTATTTGATGATTTATTGATATGCTTACTCATTAAAGTTTATAAAGCTTTGTTTTATACCTAAATATTTGTTGTTAGGTTCGGTTAGTAAATTGATGGGCTTGGATCGAAATTATTTATAGTGAATAATTATTGATGTGGATATGGGAGGAATAAATTCGAAATGGTAGATGATGGATAAGGGTTTCTAGGGTTCCTTAAAGGGTACTATTCGACCTAATTGCTTAAATTGGGGATTTTGATGCTTTCATGTGATTAATGTTTTAGAGCTTAATTAATTAAGTATGAATTAGTGTTTAGGAATGAAAAAATTTACTTTAATTGAAGAAAAATCCATGCAAATCCTTAGGGTATATTCGGCCTAAACTTTGATTTTTAGGCTTTGAGTTTCAATCATCCAAATCTCAAATTGTTGGTTCAATTGTACTTGAGCAAGTATAATTTGAAGTGTAGGAAGGTAAAATTTCAAGAAAATTGAAGAAAATGGCTTAAATTTGTTAAAATTTAAATTTGACCATTATGATCAAATTCGGGTTAGAATAAGAAATTACACCTTAAATGTTTATTCAATTGGTCCCTATGATTAATGTGTATGTAAGCTAAGTGGTATCAAATTATAGGATGAAATCAATGGTATTACATATTAAGCATATATCATATAAAGAGAAGATACTTAGTAAAGGAGTGAATTATATTGATTGATTCATTATATTTGGTGGTAATTGATTTTCTTAAATAAATATAAGATATATGAGACATATATGTGTTTCTATATGGGGTTGAATTTCAAGAACGGTTTGAGAATGTAGGGTTTGGTACCTATAACTTGACGGATATGGTAAATAAAACATCATTGTGCATTGCATACATTTATGAGTAAATTGAAAAATCGGATGGTTGAGAATCGATAAGGTTTGGTAAATGAAACTGGATTAAATAGGTATTAGCAATGAAGCTATACGCATGCTCTATTATTTAATTACATCGTTAGGCGATGAATAATTTCGCTAACCGTGTGCGACAACGATGGATAATTTCGTTGTTAATAGTAGGTGATAAGGCAATCACGGAAAGATAGAAATGTAGTGGACTTGCTAATACCTAAGGTACCCGAATTAAAATTAATGGATGAATTTAGGGTAATACGAAATCATTACATATCACGTGCATCACCCTACTTACCGAGCTTTGGCTCATATTCTTATTTTTATTCCGTAGTGTAACGAGTAAAGACAAAGACAATTCCGTCAAGGAAGCTGCTGGTTCTCACTAAAAAGGCTCATGTGCTATCCAAAATGATAAGAATCTTTTAAAGGGTTGTAGATAAGTGATATTGTTCTCCCATTTATGGGTAGTCGACATCGTAGACATTTTGTAATCCCCGTGACTATAATTATTAATACCACATAAATTTTATTATATGTATTCCATTGCTTAATATTTATTTAATTTCGGTTATGTATTATAGGAAACTAGTAGGGATTTTAGGCTTAATAATTTAACGAACCTAACCGCTTCTATTGGGATATAGTAAGTGAGTTAGGGATGTTACGGATGTGTTTGGCATCGGTGTTTCTTGGTGAGGGATAATCTATTGGTTAGGTGCTTGCGTTTTTGTTGTGAGAGAATGAAGATCTTATTAGTTTGATTTTAGGGCTTTATGATGGTGAGATCTATCGAAGAGGGACGAGGAGCTTCCGTTAGAGCCCTTTTAGTAACTCCGTGTTCTCTCGTTTTAAAACAGAGACCTTTTTTTTCCTTGTCGGTGGTTTAGCTTGTCACTTCCACCTTCCCATCCCCTACTTCTTTCGTTTCTTTTGAAACTAACAAACCCAAATCCATGAGACCTCCCGACATCTCTATCGGTGATTACCACTTTCATCAATCATTTCTCCAAAGTTAGTGGACGCATCCTTAGGCGTTTGGTCGTTCGTTAACCATTAAAAAGCCACTTGGTCTATGCAATGTTACTCGGTGGTTTCTCATCACTAACAACGAGAGAAAAAGAGTGACGGGTCAATTTTTTTTTTTAAAGTAAACAACTTCATAGGTTGTTTTAACAAGGATGGTTCTTTGGGTGTGCTAGCTTTATAGGTGTCGAGTGTGGTAGCTAGTTGTGTGGACGGTATGTTTGGTGTGGGCGAGGATGACGATAGAGTATGCCTTTCGATGACCTTGTGGTGCTACACACCAAGTGTTTTTATTTGGGACGGGAGGTGGTTGGCTCCGAGTATATGGAACAAAGGTAACGGTAAGGTTGAAAACAATGGGTTCATGTCAACAAGATGGGGGCTATTGAGGTTGATTATTCCGTGGAGAGGAACCGAAGGAGAGTTATGACACCCTTTTTTTTATTGTTGGGTAGTGAAGAAAAAAAAATAAAGGACAATGGTAAGGGTAATTGGAGGCTAGTATGCGGAGGGTGAATGAGGCTCGAGTGGTTGTGGGTTTGTTGATGTGAGGAGGTGAGTGGTTTAGTGTCGCCGTGGCTATGACGAGTGGGGAAAACAATGGAAAAGGAGATTGTAAAGATGATGATGGTCGAGGCTTGCTAGGGTGATGACTATGGTTATATGATGGTGAAGGCTAGAGATAGTGGCTTTGGTCACTAATGGAGAGGCATCGGTACGTGGGTGTGGTTATGGTTATGTTTATTAGGGGCTTCGGGTTGTGACAAAATGGTTCTTGAAGGTGTGAGGGATAAAGGAGGAGGGGCAATGGTGAAGGTTGGACTCGACCATCGGGTATGTTTTTTTCAAGAGTAAAGAAGGTATGGGCTATGGTTGATTGGATGAGTCGTTTGGAGGGAGATATTGCTACTCGGTAGAGGGAGGAATAGCCATGGCGGCCATCTTTTTCATTGAAGATGGTCGCCAAGCTTTCTATTATCTTTTTTCGGAGATTACATT